GGCCTGGCGGGAGTGGACCGTGGGAGTCGGGCTCAGGTGTGCCCACACCCTGACATCCACGCACAGGCCAGGTCCGCACGCAGCCTCCGTGGCCCGGCCCTGGGATGAGGCCTGTTGGGTGGCTGTGTGCTTGGTCCTTGCCCATCTGTCTCCTCAGCCCCTTGGGCACCTCCTGCGCCAGCGTGGCCTGGGGTGGCCTGGGCATGGGCGTGGGCGTGGCCTGGGCGTGGGCGTGGCCGGGTGGCTGGGCGTGTCCCACGGTGCCTTCAGCATGAAGTGGTGACAGTGAGGGCGGGAGGAGCAGCCACGCTCCGGGCAGCCTTTTCTCTCAGGATAAAGGCCAGGCAGATGAATAACAAGACCCAGTGCCCCGAGTCCCCCTCCCTGTGGGGGAGCCATGGCCACGACTCGTAGAGACCACCCTCTGGGAGTCCACGCACCTCACATGTCCGCCCACCGGACACGTCCCTGCCGGACCCCCCGCAGGTCATGGAACGCCCCCCACCCCGGTTTGCTTTCTCGGCTCCACAGGGAGGTCAACGCCTGGGTCCCCCCCAGAAGCTGACCGAGCGGCTCACGCACCTGGGGGCTCTCGCATCTGTGTCCCCCGCCCCCACCGCTGACGGGGTCCTGCACGTGCACCTGCCCCGCCCCATGGTCAGGCCGGTGCCCGGCTCTTTGGAACAGCTGGGAGCCTCTGATCGGTTCCGCAGCCGCGGGAAGAGCACAGGCGTCCAGGAGCCCGGAGGGCTCTCCGCGCCTCCCGCCCACGTGCTGCAGGGGCCGGAGGCTGGGCGCACCAGCTGCCCGGATCTCATGATCGCTCCGTGGGCCGCTGCGTTTAAAATAAGCAAGGTGCCGTTACCCACAAACATTCCACCCCGGGAGGTGACGGGAGGGGGAGGGAGGGGGAGGCCGGCAGCCAGGGCTGGAGCGGCTCCAGGATCTCCCGTCCTCCACCTCGGACACCGGGCGTGGCCTGCACGGAGGGCCTGAGCCCGGGGTCACGCCTGCCCTGTGGTGACGGGGTGGCTTAGCGACTGGTTGGAGGAGTTCCCCAGACGCCTCATCCATCTGGGCTTCTCACTGGTCACCTGCAGAACGGTCCCCCTCGGGGTCCAGACTCGGGGGGGGGCGGGCGGGGGCAGACTCCAGCTTCCTACAGCGAGTGGGGACCAAGGAGCCCTGATTGGTGGTGATGGGGGGAGGAATCCCGGGGGGCTTCTTGGAGGAGGTGAGGGCAGGGTTGTTCAGGTGGGAGAGATGGATGAGACGTGGGGCTCTGTAAACCCCTGTGCTGGCCAGGCCAGGCCCGTGTTGTACCCGAGGAAGCAAAGCCCAGGGAGTGGACGTGCTGGCCACCGTGTCCAGCCGGCCGGCCGGTGGGGAGGCCTGGAGTGGGCGGGCCTCCTCAGGCCCAGCACGGCTCTGGCTTTGCTGCTGAAATGCCCCCTGGCAGCCGTGTGACTGCAGGCAGCGTGTCCCCCTCTCCCTCCGGGGGTGGGATCTTTGGAGAGTCTCGGGGGAGAGGCCTTGGGGCGACCCGCCCCCGCCCCGACCTCACCTGAACCCCAGTTGGGGGCCACCCACGTGCGGGCCCCGAGCCCTCGGAGCAGAGGCTGTGATGAGGTTTCCAGCTCCGAGCGAGC